ATGTTTCTTGCAAATCACCAAAGATTCAATTAGAAGAGATGAAAGGAAGAAACACTCTTCCCACAAGGATTGTCGTTCTCAAGCCAAACCTTGGAAAGATTCAGAGTGCTTGTGCATCTGTCTCATCACCTGGTTACTCACATAATTACCCCTCCAACTTTAGGAAGCTCACAGAATATAAAAGTTTAGGAGGTGCCGAAATAGTATCCAGGAGCAGGAGAGATTCATCTGACGACGTAGGATCCTTGAACCCCTTGTCAAGAGATGCTAGGGAAATTGCTAGAGAAATTTCAAGGAGAATGAGGGATGGTTGTGATGGATTCATTGATCCAACATCTTCTGGAGTCAGAGGATATGCAGGAGACGAGAGTTCTTATGATGCTTATGAAAGTGATTCTGCCAGTGAGTCCGAGGTTTTTAAATTGTCATCTGTAAATAGAGAGGCAAAAAAGAGACTGTCTGCCAGGTGGAAGACGACTCATAGATGTCAGGATTTGGAAATGGTTGGTCATGCTAGCACACTGGGTGAAATGCTTGCCAAACCTGATAGAGAAACAAAGCCTAAATATTTGAATGCTAATGTAGGTCTCGATAGGACAAGTGATCGGCATATGAGCAACAATGGAACTGCAATTTGGGATTTTCCTTTGCGCATTAGCAATACGGATGGTTGGAAGGATGAGCGTAATAGAATTTCATCAAGATCGAGGTCTCTTTCTCCCTCTTTTGTGAGTGGCAAAACTCACAGAAGAAGAATGAACTCTGTAACTCTGGCTGAAGACCAATATCTAATGCATAATGACACTGTCAATTGTGGTAGAAGTGAGTCTGTGAAGGGAAACCTAAGTTGGAAGGAAGATATTTCCTCTAAAGATATAAAATGCAGGAGCAAGAAACCTTTCTGTCATCACAAATTTACCGACGAAAGAGACTCTTCAACAGAATCCAATTTTGAGATCCAAACAGAGATGAACCTTGAAACAAACCCAAGTGAACAGCAGTCCACATCTCAGATCACTGCAAAAGATGGCACCTGTACAACTCCCATTCCTGATGCAAAGGCTGCTGCTAAACATGGGGTTGTAACCTCATCTTCAAAATCTTCTGAGTTGCAATTGAAGCAATCATATTCGGAGGTAGAAAAGGACAAAAATACTGCTTCTCACAAAGAGGATTCTAGTTTCCAGGTTCGGATCTTTGCTTTCTTTTAACAAAATTATTAATGCTACATTCATGCAGCAAATACTAAAGATTGTAATCATGTTTTTATTGTTTTTTTTTTTTTACATGTTTTCCTTGGTCGTCCCTATTCACATAACCAAGTAAAACCGAGTTCTTATTTTCTCTTTTTGTTTGAAATAACTGCATTAAACTGAGATAAGGCTTAAAATTTGCTACTGCAGATTATTGCACTTTCTATGTATAGAAACACATTCCCCTGTGCTATAGAAACACTTTCTGTGCATCAAAATCCTTCTCTTAGTCACATTGTTCCTATTCCATGTTCATCCCGAGTCTCCATCTGTATAATTTCAAGATATATATTAGATGATTATTTCTTTCATGACACGCTGTGAATGCCTTCCGCTTTCTGGTGGCAGTTGATTAAGTTGCACAAGAATCTAATGTTCCACTGTCTACAAGTTCTAAGCTGGATTATATTCCTAGAATGAATTGATAGAATGCTGCAGCAAATGATTTTGGTTGAATTACATGGTACTAAATAGTCTAAATTATCTTACTGCCTAGAGTTGGTTAATTCCACGTTGAGATATTTTTGCATAAATGTTGTGTTATTTGATTCCCATTCAATTGAGTCATCGCAATTATTTCTCTATTTTATTGTTTCCTCTTTCTACAAATATACATTACTGAAAACCATAAAAATTTATGAATATAGACTTTTTGAGTTAAATTTTGATGAAGTCACGGCAGACTATTAGTTAAATTTCTGTGAGAACATCTATGATAACATCTTGTTAGCACATTTATTTTTCTAATGATGGTGTATTTTCATCATTTAATATGGGAATGCTGTTTAATTGAATTATGAGAGTTTTATTCAACTCTATGAAATTCATTTCAGCGAATCATGATGTTTCAGGAACCGTTGGAGGGACTACCCGAACAAGCTTCTGCTTCCATGCAGTTTCCAGGAGCTGAGCCAGATTCTTCAGAGAGCTCCAAGAATGCTGATTATCATAGTCCAGTTTCAGTCCTGGAGGTCCCTTTCACAGAAGATATATCATCTAGTTCTGAAAGCTTTGAAAGAGTCAGTGCTGAACTTCATGGTATGAAGCTCGTTATTAATATTTTTAGAATTTGCCTGTGTTTGAAACTCATGGTGATAACGTCATTGCGAGTTACACTATATGAATAGTGTTTGATAGATATATTTTTTAACTATAGAGAACATCGTCATTTGGCATGACTGAATTATANAAACTCATGGTGATAAAGTCATTGCAAGTTACAGTATATGAATAGTGTTTGATAGATATATTTTTTAACTATAGAGAACATCGTCATTTGGCATGACTGAATTATACGAAAATTTATTTGAATGATGCCAATGAAAATAATTCCTGAGACTTAGTTCATACACACAGTAGCAGTACAGTGTCTATTTAGCCATTGTTTACGAGTCATGCTATGTGTACAAAGATGGATTACAAAAATGGTTTACAAAATGTGATGTGGTATCTTGTCAATCAATGATTTAAAAAACACTTTTTGAAATGAACATCATGGATTTTGCCACATCATTTTGTAAATCCACTTTTGTATAAGTAGATTAATCCATTGTTTACAGTGACTGGCTCTTCCTTCTGTCATTAAAACTCCACTGTTTTGTGTCCTTGTGATGCCAGAATTTTATACGGACACATTTTGCTTTACTAGATTCATGTACTTCAGTCATCCATGCTCATTCTCGCAGTACATGCGTTCTCTTTTGTTCTGATATTATGGTTTTTCTTTTTTCTTTTTCTTAGTTTCTTCTGCAATTATAAATTTCTATGTACCTTTTTTCGTAGAATTGCGAATGCAGCTGCAGCTCCTCAAGATGGAATCAGGACCATATGCCGCCCCTGCACGTATTTCAAGCGAGGAAGATGTAGCACAACATTCATTGGTGGACTTGGAACAAAACCATAAATTAGAAGCCAAAGACTGGGAAGCTTCTTATGTTCTTGATGTGCTGATCAACTCGGGTTTTGAAGAATCTCAACTCGATTTGTTTAGAACAACATGGCACTCCCCAGAATGTCCTTTGCATCCTGACTTGTTTGATAACCTTGAGAAGAAATATAGTCATGAGAATTTGGAGTCGAGGTCTGAAAGAAGGTTGCTGCTTGACAGAATAAATTCAGTATTTGTAGACGTTTATCAGCAGCTTATTGACTCGTTCCCATGGGTTATGCCGAAACTAACGGGAGTTGATTTGAAGGGGCCAAAGCAAGTGATCAGAGATAGTCTCCAGAAGTTGCTTTCCGGCCAAGATTTTCAAGCCGAAGGGGAGACACCGGAAAGTATACTTGACAGGGATATGCAGTGGTTTGGATTCAAAGGAGAAATTGACGTGATAGGCAATGAAATTGAGAAATTGTTGATAGATGACATGATAGCAGAGGTTCAAACTTCGTAAGTTTAGAGCAAACTGTTAAAGTCTAGTTGGTTATAGAAACAGACGAAAATGTCTGTTTAGAACTAATGAAATAACGACTTTGAAATTTATTTCCAATCTACTAATCAAGTAAAATTACGATCCTAATCGTTTTGTGTTTAATTAATTTATTTAGCCCTGTTACTTCATGAAGTTGCAAAAAACCCGGTCCAACCGGACAAACTGACCTGTCATGGTGGTGGATGAAAACCTCGATTTTAAGCGTCGGCTTAAAAGAAGAATTTAAAGGGAAACCTTTGAGATCGACGTTTTAAACCTATTTGGTTCGCTGTTGGGGTTGGACCTGAATTCAACCCGAAGTGTGTGCACTCCTACTTTTATTTGAATTAATCCAAGTGTATAGAAATGATGTTCCCAGAGGTCTCACCGACCTCTTACATGAGGTGGGTCCCACGTCGGATCGATCTGATTAAAAAATGGTTCAAATTTTTTCCTGCCCTCCCGTTGTGTATTGTCTGTAGAGGTTCTATGTACATACAGCACGGTTCCTTTTATTTATGTACTTGACTTCGTCAAGGAAAAATGATCCATTTAGTTTGAAGATTCATTCTTCACTAACACACCATGTTTCATTGAAGATAATTTTGTATTCTCGTCTAACACATTTCTTCGTATCATTTGTGTTCCGGCATTTGCGCTGCTGAAACAAATAGTTTTGAGCTAATCATTTCATATACGTAGATTGGCTAGTTAGTGTTGATTCGTTTTTTCATTGATGCCCTTTATATAGGACTTAATCTGTATTGCAATCACATTGAAAATTATGAGATTTATATAATTTAATTTATAACGTACAATATTAATTATAATTGGATTGAAAATAATTTAATCCAAAATTTCAAAGTCAAACGTAAGATTATAAAGTATTTGATAAATTATTTCATTAATCATTGTGAAAACACCACTCATTCAAATCGGAAAGTGCTCAAATTTTTCACACGCGTTAGGCGAATATTTTAAAAAGTTTAATATTAGTTCAATATGATAAATATAGAAGAGTTTCCAGAAACCGACCTTAGCTCAGTTGGTAGAGCGGAGGACTGTAGTTGTTGCTGTAATCCTTAGGTCGCTGGTTCGAATCCGGCAGGTCGGAAATTTTTTAATTTTTTTTTTCAACCTTAATTATTCACAAGGATAATCTTTGGTCAATGTTGGGGAGTCAGATTGAGATAATACAAATAAATCAACTGTCCATTTGCGTTGACTTTTTACTAAAGGAAAGTTTACACAAAAAGCACTAAATCAGATTATAATTTGAATTGGAGATTTTATTTTATTTTGTACACTTTCCATTTAGTGGGTAAGTGATCCGACTTAGTGGTTTTTTTTTTTTTTTTGACAGATTTTCAAATCAAATCATTTTAAACGGTATGAGAAAAATTGAAACTTAAACTTATTGATTTAGTCCAATTTTAAATTGCGATTTATTTCTGATAAAAATTTTTAAACGATTCAGTTTGGTTTCAAATTGTCGTTAAAATTTCGGTACATACATAAAATCTGGCTTATTTCAAAATCATTTCGTTAGTGAATCCATGTAGCACCAAACCTACATTTTCAAAAAAAAAAAAGTGATTCAGTTTCTACGATTAGTTACAATTTAATTTGCTCAAAGTAGATTGTAGAAATATAAATTGACATATAGAGCTCATTTGACATAGTTTAAATTTGATCATTACTTATTTTAAGAATTATGCTACATGTAATCACGATTTACGCCGTAGTGTATATAATGTCTAAGTGACATTTCATTAAAAACAGTACATGAAATTTATTTTTTTAATCACACATTTCATGATATTCACAACTTTTAATTACTTTTCAACAGTACATTTTATTCAAATTTTATCAAATTCAACAGTCATTAATTTTTTAATATTTGAAGGGAAAAAGATTGAAGTGTAAAAATCTGAGGAGTTGAAGTAGGCAATGTGACAACTAAAATCACCAATAATAGCTGCCAATGCTATAAGGATACTATTATCAATTATCATCATTGGAAAACATAAACATCCCATAGTAAATAGAATTTTGATTTAAATTCCCACAAGATACTATTAATTAGTTTCAAGAAAGTAAAAAAGTACCAAATTCATAAACAAGAACCATCAACAAACCAAGCATTTATTTACACCATGAAGAAGATGAGAATTTCAATAGCATTGCTAGTGATAATTAATTCATGCACCAGCAACTCCTATGTAATTCTTGAATTCCGGGGTACTGAAATTCAGTGGTGAAAGTGAAGATGATAGTGTTGGGGGCCATAATTGGGCATTCTTCACCTTTGATATGCTTGCAAGAACCCCTAAAGGAGTCACATCTCCAATCACTGTCACTTTCTTTGCTGCAAAGTCTATGTTGAAGTCTTTCACCCCTGCTTACCATATTAAGCACCACTTAACAACATACTGAGTGAGGAAGAATAATAGACAAAAACAAGACGTAAAGTACACTTATCCTCTCGATTGCGGATCCATCTTCAAAAATATATTGGGTTTTACGTTTAGATTGCCCTAATATTCCTACGATGCAAGGTCTTTTGGAGGCCCGTCTTTTTGTAGGGTCATGTTGGTCGACCTTCAAAGGATTATATAGATTGCCTGAAAATTTTGGCGGCCAGATTTTGGTGGATGGTACTCTTATTTTTCGTCATAATGAAAGTATGTTGCGGAAAATGGACGTAACCTTAACGCTGAGGTGTATAAATATTTGTGTTATTATTGTCCAATGTGTTATTACTATCGAAAATAGAGATTAAGGCCTTGTCCGTAACAACGGCAGTATTGTTTTAGAAAAATGCAACACTCCTTCACATGGAGGGGGGCTCACAAATATTTTATTGTGTATGGGCCTCCCTCCATGTGAAAGGGTGTAAAGCCGTGTGTACACCATTATGTACACGTAGCATCTCCCATTGTTTTAATAGTAATCAAGATTCAAGATAAAATCAGTACATGTCTGATATGCAGTATTAAATCGTATACAATTAAAAAGAAATTGAGTTTCTTTTTCTTTGTTATTGCTATCCAACTCACCTTATCAAACATGCTGATATCGTCTTTAAATAATCAAATATTTCGTAGCCCCACCGCCCACACACACAAAAACAAAAAGAAGAAAGAAGTTCAGAGGAACAGAGACATAAATATGCATACCTTCCATTCTAGCTATGTGTTTTCGCATTTTCCTCTCACATCCTCTGCAGTGCAGGGAGACTCTAAGAACAACCACCTGCAACCATACATTCAAAATCACTTCATTCATTAAAATCATTTTAAGACTTAAAAAGGATATTGGTATTGATACCCACGTCAACGTGTAAAAATTTGGGCTACAACTAGTCCTATTAAAATGGAAGACCTTTCAAGATGGAACCGAAGACTCATAAGATAGATAAAACCATGCATATGGCAAGTCAAAATTATGACATAAATGAACAAAATATTAACATAATATCACTTTAGCATATTACATGAAGAATAGAGAGTGAAGAGAACCTGTTCTGGAGATTCAGACGAAGAGGGTGGTTTTCCATCACATGATTCATCTGTTTTATCAGCTTTGGACTTGGAAGGTTCATCATGAACCAATTTAAGAATCGGGTCGAAATCCGATAAAACATCTAAGAAAGCTTTATCACTCAACAAGTATCTAGTCGAACCAGCAGGGCTTATAAAATCTCCTGGTTTGGTGCAACTCCAGCTCTCCCTTACAACATTAGTACTATTATCAACTCTCATATCCTCCTTCTTTAATTTTAAGTCCTCCAGATCGAGGATTTTCTGTTTCTTGGCTCCATCATTTCCCTTTGAAGAGTTCTTTCGATCCTTGGAATGGTGCCTTTGAGGTTTGGGAGTGAGTTTTGGGGGAGAATTGAAAGGTGGGAGTGGAGTTCCATTTCTTCTCGAGTCTCTAATTATGGGATTGTATCTGTCGATGGCTCGACCACTCCCGAGTTGAGCAGTGGAGGAGGAGGAGGAAGAAGATGAGGCTTCACTCATGTTGGGACATATGGTTGTTGCAGCTTGAGATGTACAGAATATATGGATTCCTTTCATCTTTAGAAATGCTAAAATGATAAAGAGTTGGAATTAAAGGTTTAGGGAATCTGCTGCACTATCACGTAAACTTGTGGGGGCAGTCGGCAGAAACAAAGAGACTTTCTTGCTAAGATTCTTAGTGTTAGCTGTTAAGCTTGAGCTCTTGGCATGGAGAAAGTGAAGAGGAACAGAGAGAGAGAGAGAGGTGTAAAACACACCATGTATCTATCATCTATGTATACAAATCGGACATGACAGTTTTATAACAATCGTCAATCTATCGAAACTCTCTTCATTTACATATCATGGGTTATAGACCAGTGCTAATCCTGTTATAGATTAACCCCTATTCCCTTCACACAGTAATTTACCGCTACAAGTTTTCACTTAATAGGGAATGAGCGTACAAGATTTGTTTCACACCTCCCGCACGTCCAAGAGCCGTGAAATTACGTAGGAATATTAATGAAGGGTATACCAAATGCGTGATAGAAGAGCAATATTCTGAGTGCAATAAGGCAGCCCCTCTGCAGCCATCAGGTGCACCAAATAGGATGAATTAAAATGGAAAATAGTAACATTTTTGAATGAGTCCCTGTCCAAGGGTGACAGACGTGGACTGGATTCTCTGTAGAATTCAGTGACAGATACCTAATAGTTCATATGGCTTCATATATAAAACTCTTTTTAGTGTGGAGTTTTGTACAGTAATTTAATTTGAGCAGTCAGCATAGGGTGTGGATCTGACCAATTTTAAATGAAAAATTCAGAGGGAAACTGTTTACCGGAGAGTTTAATGTTTGGACAGGAAAGATACAAAGCAACGGATAAATTATCCTCAACGTGCATGCTTAAGGACTAGGTACTCCAGAATATGTTGAGATATTTTTCTAAGTTGTAATTTGCAAACATCTTCAGGGTCATGGATTGGAATTTAATTGTGTTCCTATTTTGGAACTTCACCTCTTTCGTCTGTCCTTGGGGCCGTAAGAAATGAAAAGTTCGTATGTTAAAATTGCAGTTGCGGGGATATCGACTTTATGCCACATTATCGCCAGTGTAACAAGTCTCGAATTTCACCAATTGATCAAAATCTTTAGTCAAAAGTGTCGAGCAGTACCTAAATTAGATGAAAGCAAAAGGTACCCTTTTTTTCCTCTAGGAGGAGGAATAATAGGAAAATGTGTTGAGATGCCTATGGAACATATGCTTGAAAAAATCATCTGGAAAATTGAATGAAGGAGACACAAAGCCACTTTGCTTCTCTGTCTAAGAAAGGATTCTGGTTCACAAATCCATGGAATCAGATGCCTTTGAGCATTCACTTTCTGCTCTTCTTTTCCTTTCCCCTTTATATCCCTTCCAACCATATCACATTTTAACAATTCTAAAACAACGCCCCTTTATTCTTTTGGCATGTCTGAAATCTTGTTTAATATATGGTCGAGTCTTGTCCAATACCACCAATGAAACATGCACTTCTTGTTCTTCAAGTCATATAATACTATCATAAAGAAATGCACAAAAATGGATTCATATCAAAGTCTAGTAAAAATTGCAGAACTCTTAAGATAAAGAGAAAATAGAGATTGCGTGTAACAATGTGACGTATTGCTAAAATTTGTAAAAATAAAAAATAAAGATATCAATGCACTATTGTAGAAGGAAACATGCTTTAAATCTATACATGCTATTTTAGCTGTATTCTTCATTTGTTCCCCTTTCCTTCATCTTCATTCAAGATGCGATTTCGAAAATCATTGACCATCAAAGGCAAGCCCTCGTGTAAAGAAATCTTTGGCTCCCAGTTTAGAAGATCTTTTGCTTTAGTAATATCTGGCTTCCTCTTATGAGGATCATCGGCAGTGTTTTCTTTGAATTCGATGGTTGCACTGGAATCAATGGTTTCTTTGACAACCTGTAATTTCCGAAAAAGCCACTTAATCAAGTCAAAAACTAGATTCTAGACCCATCATTAAATAAGAAAATATCGTTGAGGGTGACTAAAGATTACAAACCTCGGCAAGCTCTAACATTGTGAACTCTCCAGGGTTACCCAAGTTGAACGGTCCAATGTGCTCACTTTCCATTAGTGCCACTAATCCATCAACCTAATATCAAGATAGTGAATATAGTTCCCTTGTAAACAACATTTAAATAATGCAAAATGAAAATTACTTTTCCACATTCTGCTTTCAATACAATAAATTGTAACGTGCATACATTAAAATTTTGTTTGTTGCGGAGCTTTTATAGAATGTATGTTTAAATTGAATCTTAGTTCCAAGTCATCACAAATGAAACTCTTGTGCCATTGATGGCAGATATTGAAGATGCATTGGATGCCGTGTATGTTTGGCTAAGATTAATAGCAAGTCAGACTTTCTTTTAAGGAAAAAGAAATTATTGGTTATTTTCAAAATAAATTTTATTTCCAACTTTGACCAACAAAAACTATTATTTATATATTTAAGCTTTTACCCAAACATGCACAGATACTACTCATCACAACTTCCACCCATATATCCCTCCAGAGTTGCTATGTTTTTAACATAAAAACTCGCTAATTTCATAATAACTCAGAAATTCTTTAATAAAACGTACTTGAATGTGCAACCCCACTCAACCAAATGATTAGTGAAGTGCTGACTATTCAAAGAGGTCAACATTCTTTCACCAGCAAGAATTTCCTAGTAAAGGGGGAAATTTTGCATGGCTATAGAGTGGAGTACATAAGTAAATGAGACAGTGCCAGCAAGCAGGATACCAACATATAATAATACTACATACCAAGTCAGACACATATTGAAAGCTTCTGGTTTGCTTCCCATCACCATAAACTGTCATTGGTTGCTTGCGTATGGCCTGCAGACAACAGCTTTCAGAATAAGAACTCTTGTGAATGTAAAACCCCTTAGGTAATCTCAAGGTGAACTGTTTGGGGCATCTTTACCGAACTAGAAGAGTACATCAGCAGAGAGGACAAACCTGTGAAACGAAGTTGCTGACAACACGTCCATCATCAAGACACATACGAGGCCCATATGTATTAAATATACGTGCAATGCGTACCTGTATAGCAATAGAAGCATGATTAATAACTGCAGTACCTAAATTCAACTTGGTTTATAAGTTGCAAAGTAGAAGGGACAAGCAATTTTGTTCTACCGGTATGAATCTCAATCATACGTAATCCTTAGCTCGTGGAAAAGCTATAAAGTTAGCAACTAGATTATACTGTACCTCCCCAGAATCCTGAGTGTTAAAAATAATATTCTTAAATTCCTCAAACTCTCAACTTAATCAGACTAAAGAGTGAAACAAAGTTTGCTTGTCATACAGAACAAACTTCCTGAATATTCCCACTTCACTTTCGGGAAAGACACTAAGAGTTCTATGTACTTTCTGTAAAAGGACGATCGTAACTCGTTTTGTGAAATATCAGTATTAAGAGCACCATCAACATACAAAGAGACACTCCATTTGAGCATCACATATCCTTAAAATGATGTCATTACCATCTTTTCCTACCAGAACTTAGAGGAGAAACAAAGAAAGAACTTTTTTTACATGCAGCAAGGCACCATGACAATGCAGCTATTTTGTGGTAAACACACCTTCACCGCTTGTATTATTGCTAGGTTACACAATAGCCCCCCAGCCTTACCTCCAAAAGAGGGAAAAATCAAACTTCCTGTTGGTGGTGATTATGATTTTTTACGGTAGATAATGGATCGTTTACAATATAATGCATTGTAATGGATTTAAATATTAGAGTAGAAACAACCAGAGGCTTGTCATCAGGACGATGATTTGCAAGAATGCCATTAAATATTAGGGGGATGGAGCATACAAGGATGGGTAGATTGAGGTGGTGGAACATCCCACCCTATGACTGGATTTCCGTGTTCAATGGTGGTGACTATTTGACGCAGGGTGGAGTTGTAAATAGAAAATTCAGATGGGCCTTTGTTTCTGCTGACTATATTCATGGTTGAGAAAAGAATTGAAAAAAAAAAAGCCTTGGAGTTGAGCTTGAACTTTTCATAGGTAGAGGATAGTTCCATCATGCCCATTAACAACATTTGGAGCTTAAAGGCAGAACTTTGAGAGAAATCAGAAAAGAAAGGCTATGTAGTGTACATGAGCAAATAGCAATAGCTTGAGGGGGGTACATTGTACTTTTCAAACAATTGATGTTTTCTTCTTTAATAACTGAGCAGTAAATTGAGGGTGTAAAGTATATTTTCCACATAATTCTATTAATGTGTGTCTCCAAACTCTGAGGCAGAGACAGAATGAAGCACACAATCCAGCGAGAAAATAACATATATTCAGTCCAGAGTAAGACAATATTCATATGCATATGATCTGAACTAGACCAAGAAAAGGCCAAGTGATGAGATATAACACTGTATATACTTTTTGACGATGATATCAATAAAATAATAAAAAAAAAATGTCACTATTTTGAAAGGTAGCTTGATTTATGGAATTTGTCTGTCCTACTGTCATTTATACAAAGGGAACACCGAAAATATAGCAGCTCCTCTGCAATTCAACATAATATAATGAGACTTTTCTTTGAAAAAACAAGGACATGAAATTTCCTTTCGTTTTGGTGAAAGAAAATTTTTGCGAACATAACTTTTTAATTGTCAAAATCAAATACATGTACCATAAGCCCACGAGACATGCTTCCTACCTCACCTAGGTCGATAGCAACATAAAAATTTCCAACCTAAGAACCTCGAGCTCATTAATTATAATGCTACACTTAAAATAAGCAATAAATGTACTTGCTAACCAATTGCGTTTAAAAACTGAAAGTTTTCTTCATGTGAAATCATCACGTCTCCATGGCTGTACATCATTGTCTTTCATGCCTTGCACAATACAGTATACTTGTGGCCATATCATGGCCAGTTCATATTGAATCGTTATCTAGATTCATAGTTGAAGCAAATAGGTTTCATGCGTTTACTGGAATTTGTGTATATATTTACAACTGTAGAGGCCAAACTAGGAAAGAATAAAATCAAGAAATCTCTTAATCTTACGAGACAAATCAGAACTAATTCCCTAAAATCAGGAAATACAATAACTACAGAATCTCCTATATTACAGCACATGTATATATTTACGTGTTTTTTCCACAGATGTTGATGCGAGCTGTTTTAATCAGGAATCTATTACTTGTTAAAGATGCATGAAATTTATAAGGTGGCAACATGTATCAAATTTAAGTCGCCACCAAAATTTAATAATTCATTGGCCAGCTATTTGACATGATATCACGGTAGATAGACACTTATTGTGCCTATGACTTAAATTATGTACAAGGCTGAAAACTCTAATTGGACTTTATCAAATGTACCAGGAAAAATTTGCCAACCTGGATGCAATAATGTGTTTGAACTTAATCAGAAGTGCAGAAAAAATCTTACCTACACTAGATGCTAATTTCGTGGCATGTCGACCCAACATGGTCACAGACACGGCTTGCAGATATTATCATGATAGGTCACGTGTAAAGCATGTACTAGAGTTTAGTTTTGCCTCAAAGGAAACGACGTATGAAGGTAAAGAAACATTTCAGACACCTAATACGGTATCACAGGTAATCACCAAGTTTAAAAAACTACTAATTAAATACAAAAAGCATCTGTAAAAATAATCAATAACACTAATGTAATTTACTAAATGAAAGATGAACTCAAACGAAATAATGCTTGTTCCCAAGCTATCTGTTGTTAAAGCAGGTAAAGTCGATATGATTAATCACATTATACCCTATTTTGACAGCCAATTCATCCAAATACCAAGCTTAGAGTTCAACAACAACATCTGCAATGTACATGTATTACCTCAACACCAGCTCCACGATGATAATCCATAGTTAAGGTTTCAGCAGTTCGTTTTCCTTCATCATAGCAACTCCGTACACCTGATTATTGGAAAGAACTCAATCATAAACTTCACACCAGAATAGCATAACTGAAACAACATATTTCATAAAAGAAAGATGTCACTCACCTATTGGATTTACATGTCCCCAATATGTCTCCTTCTGTGGATGCTCAAGAGGGTCACCATAAACCTCACTTGTACTAGTAAGAAGGAATCTTGCCCCAATTCTCTTTGCGAGGCCCAACATATTAAGGGTCCCCATCACGTTTGTCTTGTAATTATATGTCAAGGATCTCAATAAACAAAATATCCAAGAAAAACAAATGCAGGTGCAACATAAGTCTGTATCTTTATCTAAATTTCTTCCCAGTTACACAAAAAAATATTAGAACTGTATGAATAATCATAAGAGCAGCTTATCGTTTTTGCATTCACACACTCAAAAACAGCAACCGTCATTGGCAGTTGCACTTGTGCAAGCCTATACATCAGATATAACTGCATAAAAATTATAATTACTTAAAGACTTAAATGTACTATTTGGTATGTGTACATCTGCAAGTTTGTGCCTGGAGAGGAGACATACAACCATATGTATGTATACATCACACGAGCATGTTTGCACACAAATATATTATCTTATGATCGACAATGACACAAATAAACATTAAACCAAGAATTCACTTTTGAACATCACCTGTCATGTTCAAACAGGAAAGCCATTACGTTGCTAATGCGCACATGCACACATACAGATCAACAATACTATTTATTTATTTTTCAAAATAAAAATCCAATGTCACTCTAATATGTAAAAACAAACTGTACGAGGATATGATAGTCTTGACAGGATTATACTTGTAATGAACTGGAGATGCAGGGCAAGCTAAGTGGTAGATCTGATCCACCTCCAACAGAATTGGCTCGACGACATCGTGCCTAATCAGCTCAAATCTCGGGTTGCCAAACAAATGCACTACATTCTCCTTCCTCCCGGTGAAAAAATTATCAATCACAATCACGTAATCACCTCGAGCAATCAACTTATCCACCAAGTGACTGCCCACAAACCCAGCCCCACCAGTTACTACAATCCTCTTCCTCTTGCTTCCTATCCCCACCGGCACTCTCCCTACCCCATTATGATACTTGCTCTTAAAACTCTCATCATATCCCACCACCACCCCGCGATCATGAAGGCTAACCGATTCACGATTCTCCGAAATAATGTGGGATCTGGGAATACTGGGTCCGGAAGAAGCCGAGGAGAGGTAGGAAAGGGAAGGCTTGGTGACAAAGAAAGTGGAGCCAATAAGAATGCCCACAAGAATGAAAAGAAGGCGCTGCTCTTTGAGAATGTAATTGAGAGATCTGCGAAGGGATCTGGGATGTTTCAAGGATTTGGGAGAGTAAGGTGGGCTTTGAGACATGGGGATTTCTTCATCTCTTTTTGTACTGGCTTGCTTATGCAACTGCTTCATGGCTGGATTATGTAAAAGCTTTGACTGCAACAACAATAATTTCGTTATTGTTAGCAAGAAAAAGCGTTTAATTCTAGATATTGAAGTCAGATTGTAACTGAATTTCGGGGTAGAAGACAGAAAAAGAAAGCCAGAATTGTACTCTCCGGCATTTGGTGAGGTAGGTGTACCATATGATGCAGATTTGTACGAGTGCTTCTGTTTGAAGATTGCATGAAATGGGCTAGATGTGGTCGAAAGGGAAAAGTTTATCGTATTTAGTTTGACATTTGAAAAAAATCAGGTTCTAAATTTTAAAATTGTAAAAATAAGGTTTCTACTTTTTATTAATTAATTAAATATTTAATTGTGTAATTTGATAGCGTATATCTTAATAAGTTAAAAATTAATTTCAGGTCACAGCTTATCAAATTAATTGGTCTCGGATTATTTCGAG